AGCAGGAATTCAGATGCCCAAACCACCACACTCATTTGCTCCCACTCACCACTGGAGTCTGATCTTTAAGGAACAGGTAGTTCTGAGTGAAGGGCCCATAATGCAGTTTAAGAGCCTGTGGGCTGGTGGCTCATGGACAGTTTTTACCAATTTAATACTGGATGGCAGGGTCTATGCCTCATTACTGCTCTGGTGTCAGGCCAACACAGCTACCAGGTTATCCTGTGGCAGCAGGGGACAGAGGGGGTGTTTTTCACCCCAAGTTCTCTGTAGATGAAGGAGTAGTTGTAGCAGGGTGAAAGGGTTGTTGTTCTTCAGGCCTCCAGGAGGTGCCCAGCAACTCAGCCTTGGTAAATCCAGGCCAGCTGGAAACCTGCACTGTGTTCTGTGCCTGTGCCACAGGCAGGGTTTATACCTGGGAATGGCCTGAAGTGCCTGGTGGAAAACATGAGCAAGGGCTGTGCTGAGAATCCAGGTTATACAGAGCCTGAATGACTATGGTCTTGCTACCAACAGTATGTTGGTAGCAAGAAAAGGAAGATGGTTGTTTAACTGGGACCCAGGTGAGAGAGGAGCAGCCTTAAGGAGAAGAATCTGAAGGGATGTGCCCTCATGGTTAATAATGTCCTGCCAGGATGTAGCAGGTGACTTCCCAGTCAGATATTTTTTTTTTACTGTGAAAAAAAAACAGATTTGACAAATGCCATCCATGTACCAGCAACGTGTCTCCTTCAACAGCTCATTTTTCCTAACACCCCAACTGGAGCCCTCGGTGAACCTTTGCAAAAGAAGAAAATGTTATGTTTTTAAATACCAGTGATTCAGTTTTGATATGGTCCAATTTTGGGGAAATCAGCATTGAAACAGACTGGATGATTTGGCAAAATACCACCTACCAACCCCAAAAGGAATGTCAAAATATCATTCCATTAAAAAGTTGGTATTGGGGAATTTCCATCAAGTAGAATATCCTGTACCAGGTCCCTTCCCCTGCTGCCAGGGACGTGCACTCTCTTCATGTACCTCATACGTCCCAAAGCATAGCAGAGGTTTGTAGCACCAGTAAACATCAGTAACTGGTGGTAACAATATGGCCCCACCTGCCCTGCTCCTGGGCTTTGGGGGACCCATGTCCCTCCCCATGAACGTGCAGATTTGACTCCCCACCACAGATGCTGCTCATCCATCTTTGCAAGCAGCCACCAAGTGTGTTTCACAGCTCCGAGTTACAAGCCTCTATTTATGGCACAAAAAATCTCCATCACCTTCAAACTGGCTGGAGATGCTGTGCAGAGTGGTGGGGCTTTCATCCTTTGCTTCAAATAACAAGGAATAAATATTTACCCGAAGTGCAGGACTGGAATCCCTGGAGAATGTCCAAGAAGTCCCAGAGAAGTAAACGATGCACAAAAACCACAGAAGCTTTTCCTTT